AGACCTACACAAGCCATTTAAAATGGCTGATAAAAGGACCAAATTGGTTGAACATCTATGTACTCTCATAACCTTAAGCAAAGAATAAGCATGCTCTGGGCGACCCACATCACATAATCCCTCCACTATTGCCATGTACGTAATAAGATCAGGGTAAAGACCGTTCAAACTCATCTCCCCGATCAACTTCTCAGCCGTTTCAATGTCGCCATTCTTGCAACATAGCCTAATAACCACATTATACATCACAGTGTCAGCACCGATGTTGAAACTCTGCTCCATCTTCCTCAACACCCACAATGCCACGTCAGCTAGTTGGGCTTCTTTGCACAGTTTCAGAACCTCCCTGAACATGTTGACATTGACTAAACACCCTTCGGCCTCATAAGACAGAACGAGATCACGAATAATTTGGGGATTTTGCTGAATCCCAAACAACTTGCAAGCTTTGCTGTACGTGTAAGCACTGTGCCTGTAGCCAGATTGAAATCCAGCCCAAACGAAAAATCTGACGCCCAATAGAGGTTGCTTGGGATGACAGGAATTGAGGACTTCAATGACACATTGAGAATCGAGTTTAGGCTTAACCTTGGACAATGAGTTCTCAACACTGCCATTGTTTTGGTGGAGATGGGTACAGAGGGTATCGACCATGCCCATTCGGTGGGTGGAGAAAGGAAGAGTTTTGAGTGCGTCGCAACGCGAGAAAAGTCGAAACTTTACAAATTGGGGCATAGGGTTAGTGGACGAGAAAGAAAAAGGAAGAACGACGAAGGTTGCGTGAAACAGAAAAGGGTCTAATTGATTTGATTACCAGTGCCTATGTATGTGAGGACGAGACTCCATCAGCCAAGAAATGAGTTGAGTTGGTTCCTTCCTCCTTCTCACATCGCTTCCAAATCCAATGGTTTTTTCAAACATCCTCTGGATAAAAATCAAAAGATATTAAATATTTATTGTTTAGTTTGACAAAAATCTATAATTTTTTTATTTATGTAAACAATTTAAAGTTTGATAAAGTATATATTATTTAGATAGTTTTTAGAAACTTTAATTTAAAAAATATAATTAGATTTTAGTGGACCAGGAATTATAAATAATTATAGTTGACACTTATAAATATATTGATGCGGGCTGTCGCGGCCCATCAAATTTGATTGCAAGAAATAATGCAGTATAAGCTAGGAAGTGACTCCTAGGTCACCTCTCAAGGACCAAATGTGATTCAAGTCTTAGATCAAACACGTAGTGGGGGTTGGTAGAAAAGTTTGTGAATGCAATTAAACTAAATTAAAATGCGAATGTAAACACGGAAGGAACCGAAGAATTAAAACGGTTGGTCACTAATTCAATTACATACTTCCAATCACAGATTAATGACAATTACACACTACTCTGATCCAAATCCAAGACGAATCACCCAACTAACTTAAATTAACATTACGACTAAATTATCACAGCCAACCAAAATAGACAACATTAAAGTGAAGATTAAAATTAAATACAAACAAAAAAAAATAAGTCACTAAAGAAAAGAAACTAACAACATTTAAATATACCTACATTCCAACTAAGGCAATTAAAGCATAGAAACAACATGGTGAATATAAGCATAAGTGATAGCATGACATAGGAAGCACCGGATTTGCATACAAGTGATAATGAACATTAAAATAATAAAAAGAAACGCAATTAACAAATCAGTTAAAATGACTTAAAACATTAGATGCATTTAAAGCTGAATGTTTTCCAAATGTAAAATATAAGAAAATGCCATTTGGTTCCAACGTGAATAAAGTGAAAAGAAAAAGGAAACCCTGTAGCACACTTTGTCACGCTGCTGGATGTAACCCGCTGCACCTCCAAAGTAACTTAACGTGCTCCTAAACCCTAAACCTAAAAGGATGAATCAACCAAAAAAATGAAATTAAGTGGGGTAAGGACCTCCACGCTTAGGAGCTCTCCATTCCAGCACGTCACCAAGCACACCTCCAAGCCGTGACACCTTGCTAAAAAAGTTAAGCACCGTATCTTATTCTATAAAAGAAGGAAATGAAAACCGAGAACTCCTTTTCCAATTGAAAATAAAATGGGCTCCTCTTTGCTGGCTTAAATAAAAACGAAATCATCATCCACACTTCATTCTCAATCACCATGCGTCAACCGTGACTGTCCCTGCACCGTGCACACCAATTTCTCTCTTCACCGTGAGCCTTCCATTTCTCAATGCTGCTTCCAGCTCCAAGCTAAGACACCCTTTCTCCTACATTCTCCTAAGTGAGAAAAAGAAAAGCCTCCTCCAAGTTGGCGGCTACATTCTGGAAGTGACCGAGCTGCTACTTTCTCCCCGGCTGGCGGCTGCCCTTATTTGAAGGTTGAATGACCCGTGGAGACCTTCCCTGCTGCCAGCGTGTCCAAAGTTGCTGGACGCGCAACTGCTTCTGCTGGACGTAGCACACCAAAGCTGCTGCCCGTCACACCTTTGAATCTCCATGTGCACCCCTTCTTCTGCTGCTGGGCCGTGGAATTCCTTCTCATCCTCCACGGGTCTCTAAGCTGCTGGATCGTGACCAAGTGTTGATTACTGGATGCCACCCGTGTGGAATGCTGGACCGCGTTTTGATTTCTGCTTGCTGGACCGTGGAGGCTATGTGCGTGTGAAGTGCTGCCGTGTTGTGCTTCCAAGTGGGCCGAATCTCTCCAAGCACACACCTCCCACACGCTGCTGTGTGCTGCTCTGTGCTTGCTGGACGCACCCCCTTCATTCATCCAGCACACCTTCTTCATTTAAGCCTCTCCAATCAAGCCCATCTCTGTGTGCACTCCCATAATTTAAATCCACACCTCCTCATTCATTTAAGCTTAAAGTATATTTGATGTGGCATTTTCTTTTCACCTCCAAATATTATCCAACACTTTTCCTACAATTAATAATGCAAATAATTAGCTCAAATAATTCAAATTAATTAAAATAAGAATTTTTTGTCAAATTAAGCACAATTAGCAAAAACGGAAAAATATCGGACATTTAAGCACAATTCCCTGATTAATTCTAGCACACTAAACTAAGTGAAATCAAGAAAACATTGACTCATCATATATACAATTTATTTGTATTATTTATTATTATTGTAATGATTTAGGATTATTTGGGATAATCCACACGAAGGGTAGCAGAAGGGTGTTTAAAGTTGAAAGGAGAAAGATGAAATGGGATAAGGAACGAGTGCGACAATGAAAATTGGGAGTGAAATAGATAGAGAATAGAAGACAATAGAAGAGACTAGATGGCAAAATCGGGATCAACCCCTGTCACTGCCTCTGCAAAGGTTCACCCTTCCAACGATCCCCAACTGGACCCAGACTCTTATGCCCTCGAGAAGTTCAGACTCTACGAAACCAGAGCGGTAATTATCCATTCATTCGTCACGCAATAATCTTTTACACAACCGATTAAATTAACCTATTTTTGAAATTGCAATCGCAATCGTAGAGGTTCTACCTGATCGGAGTAAGAGGTTCTTCCGAGTGTTGAAAATCGATCGATCAGAGCCGTCAGATCTGAATATTAGCCAAGACCCCGTCCTGTATTCACCCTAGGAGATCAAGAGCTTGCTTCAGCGGATTGCTAAGGGTAACAGAGCCACTGGCGGCCTCACTTTCGTCGCTAAGGTTTTCGGAATTGCTGGTTAGTACCTCTCTCTCTCTTCTCTCTTTCTCTCTCATCATGTGTATATACATGTGTACTATATATATCTCAACCAATTTCTCTATCATTTCAAGGCTGCATCAAGTTTCTCGAGTCTTATTACTTGATTCTCTTTACTAAACGTAGATAGATTGGTGCTATATGTGGCCATGCAATCTATAGCATCAAGGAGAGCCAATTGATAACCATTCCACATGTTTCAATCCAATCTGATTTAGCTCACTCTAAGACTGAGCTCATGTAGATAACCCTTCCAAAACGTTTACCACATCTAACAACATCAGTTTCTTACCATCACCACGTCCCACTGCAGGTACAAAAAGATTTTGTCTAGTGTCGATTTCACCAAGGATTTTTTCTATAGTTACACTTACCCTATAATGCAAAGTTTGCAAAAGAACGTTTCTCCTAGCGAAGACGGAGGGATGTCGTATGATAATATATTTGTTTGGAATGCATATTTGACACAAGCAATCAGGTCAAGATGCAATAACACTATTTGGACNGATTAAAATTAAATACAAACAAAAAAAAATAAGTCACTAAAGAAAAGAAACTAACAACATTTAAATATACCTACATTCCAACTAAGGCAATTAAAGCATAGAAACAACATGGTGAATATAAGCATAAGTGATAGCATGACATAGGAAGCACCGGATTTGCATACAAGTGATAATGAACATTAAAATAATAAAAAGAAACGCAATTAACAAATCAGTTAAAATGACTTAAAACATTAGATGCATTTAAAGCTGAATGTTTTCCAAATGTAAAATATAAGAAAATGCCATTTGGTTCCAACGTGAATAAAGTGAAAAGAAAAAGGAAACCCTGTAGCACACTTTGTCACGCTGCTGGATGTAACCCGCTGCACCTCCAAAGTAACTTAACGTGCTCCTAAACCCTAAACCTAAAAGGATGAATCAACCAAAAAAATGAAATTAAGTGGGGTAAGGACCTCCACGCTTAGGAGCTCTCCATTCCAGCACGTCACCAAGCACACCTCCAAGCCGTGACACCTTGCTAAAAAAGTTAAGCACCGTATCTTATTCTATAAAAGAAGGAAATGAAAACCGAGAACTCCTTTTCCAATTGAAAATAAAATGGGCTCCTCTTTGCTGGCTTAAATAAAAACGAAATCATCATCCACACTTCATTCTCAATCACCATGCGTCAACCGTGACTGTCCCTGCACCGTGCACACCAATTTCTCTCTTCACCGTGAGCCTTCCATTTCTCAATGCTGCTTCCAGCTCCAAGCTAAGACACCCTTTCTCCTACATTCTCCTAAGTGAGAAAAAGAAAAGCCTCCTCCAAGTTGGCGGCTACATTCTGGAAGTGACCGAGCTGCTACTTTCTCCCCGGCTGGCGGCTGCCCTTATTTGAAGGTTGAATGACCCGTGGAGACCTTCCCTGCTGCCAGCGTGTCCAAAGTTGCTGGACGCGCAACTGCTTCTGCTGGACGTAGCACACCAAAGCTGCTGCCCGTCACACCTTTGAATCTCCATGTGCACCCCTTCTTCTGCTGCTGGGCCGTGGAATTCCTTCTCATCCTCCACGGGTCTCTAAGCTGCTGGATCGTGACCAAGTGTTGATTACTGGATGCCACCCGTGTGGAATGCTGGACCGCGTTTTGATTTCTGCTTGCTGGACCGTGGAGGCTATGTGCGTGTGAAGTGCTGCCGTGTTGTGCTTCCAAGTGGGCCGAATCTCTCCAAGCACACACCTCCCACACGCTGCTGTGTGCTGCTCTGTGCTTGCTGGACGCACCCCCTTCATTCATCCAGCACACCTTCTTCATTTAAGCCTCTCCAATCAAGCCCATCTCTGTGTGCACTCCCATAATTTAAATCCACACCTCCTCATTCATTTAAGCTTAAAGTATATTTGATGTGGCATTTTCTTTTCACCTCCAAATATTATCCAACACTTTTCCTACAATTAATAATGCAAATAATTAGCTCAAATAATTCAAATTAATTAAAATAAGAATTTTTGGTCAAATTAAGCACAAGTAGCAAAAACGGAAAAAATACCGGACATTTAAGCACAATTCCCTGATTAATTCTAGCACACTAAACTAAGTGAAATCAAGAAAACATTGACTCATCATATATACAATTTATTTGTATTATTTATTATTATTGTAATGATTTAGGATTATTTGGGATAATCCACACGAAGGGTAGCAGAAGGGTGTTTAAAGTTGAAAGGAGAAAGATGAAATGGGATAAGGAACGAGTGCGACAATGAAAATTGGGAGTGAAATAGATAGAGAATAGAAGACAATAGAAGAGACTAGATGGCAAAATCGGGATCAACCCCTGTCACTGCCTCTGCAAAGGTTCACCCTTCCAACGATCCCCAACTGGACCCAGACTCTTATGCCCTCGAGAAGTTCAGACTCTACGAAACCAGAGCGGTAATTATCCATTCATTCGTCACGCAATAATCTTTTACACAACCGATTAAATTAACCTATTTTTGAAATTGCAATCGCAATCGTAGAGGTTCTACCTGATCGGAGTAAGAGGTTCTTCCGAGTGTTGAAAATCGATCGATCAGAGCCGTCAGATCTGAATATTAGCCAAGACCCCGTCCTGTATTCACCCTAGGAGATCAAGAGCTTGCTTCAGCGGATTGCTAAGGGTAACAGAGCCACTGGCGGCCTCACTTTCGTCGCTAAGGTTTTCGGAATTGCTGGTTAGTACCTCTCTCTCTCTCTCTCTTCTCTCTTTCTCTCTCATCATGTGTATATACATGTGTACTATATATATCTCAACCAATTTCTCTATCATTTCAAGGCTGCATCAAGTTTCTCGAGTCTTACTACTTGATTCTCATTACTAAACGTAGACAGATTGGTGCTATATGTGGCCATGCAATCTATAGCATCAAGGAGAGCCAATTGATAACCATTCCACATGTTTCAATCCAATCTGATTTAGCTCACTCTAAGACTGAGCTCATGTAGATAACCCTTCCAAAACGTTTACCACATCTAACAACATCAGTTTCTTACCATCACCACGTCCCACTGCAGGTACAAAAAGATTTTGTCTAGTGTCGATTTCACCAAGGATTTTTTCTATAGTTACACTTACCCTATAATGCAAAGTTTGCAAAAGAACGTTTCTCCTAGCGAAGACGGAGGGATGTCGTATGATAATATATTTGTTTGGAATGCATATTTGACACAAGCAATCAGGTCAAGATGCAATAACACTATTTGGACCATAGCTTTAGTTCATGGTCATTTTAGGCAGGTACGTTACTTCCTTTCTGTCGTCCGTCATTCATTATAGTTTGTTTCTGTTAAATGAAAGCCTACTTGCTCTTCTTTGAAGCATGCATTTTCATTAAAGATCCATGGTAAATTTACAACTATTTATCCATGGTAAATTTACAATTATGATTTTAGAAATATAAAAGATAATATTTTAGAAGTATTGGCCCCAAATTTCTTCTATAGAAATTAATAATTATGGCTAATTACTCGTAGAAATAAACACCTTTTATAATTTGTTTTCCTCAATTGAAATGCATCAGATGAGTGTTCCACTCAAGTCAGCATTAAAAATGCACAAAACAAATTTGCCCTTTATAGAGGTTGTCATAAAGGTTTTGGAGGCATGAAAGCTGAACCCCTTTCGAGACTATGTTTGTCATTCAATTCATAACATGATTCTATCTTTAGATTCATTATGGTGTTGTCTTGTAAATCCATTTCGTATCCACTTTCATACAAATATAAGAGTGATTTTAATTTTAGACTCAAATATGAATTCCATTAAAGATAAAATAAAGTACTAATATTATAATATATGTTTCAAGAAGAGCAAATCAAAAAGGAAACGGAAATCATCAATAATGCAGCAACTGTTTGGAAATTTTGTTCATTGACTTCATTCAATCACGACTTTTGATTGAAATGATCTTCTATGGCTTATAAGAGCTATTTGAGTGTTTCATTTCAATAATTTGTTGCGTGTTGGAAATATAATCAGTCCACATGGTTGTGTAGTCTCTGCTTATTCAGATCTGGACTTAATACTTACAATTGTGCTTAAGGATCGGGTTTGAATGTACTCATTCTTGTCATGTAAGAATCTTGTGTCTCATCTCTGTCCTTGTTGAGGAACGGGTATACTCATATCCACGTTCATATCGACTCTTGTAGTATCTCAAATATTTACTAAAAAAAATTTTTACAAAAAAGAAGTCACATCAAGGGGGCCATGATATTGTCAAGGATTTAATGTTAGGGGGACACATTTTATTTTCTTCAATGTCCAATGTCAAGGAAGAAATGATAATTGCATAAATCTTAAAATAGATTACCAAATAACAATTGCATAAATGTGAAGTAATTGTAGAAAAGAGTAAAAAAAACCCATAACTGAAATTTAAGGGAAATTACAACATCTATTTCTTTTGCAAATGTTAAGTGAACCATTGAGAAAGAGAATGAAAAATTGTGAAGCAAAATAAGGGTTCTTAAAATGAAACAAAACTAAGAACTAAAGAGAAAAGATATAAGTGTTTGAAGTTACCTAATAAACTAAGAGTTTACACCATTGAAATTGAGACTTGAACATTTTCACTTCATAATTAAAAAACAAGTAAAAAACTATCAAATGTGTGCCCTAGAAATGATTTAATTTGATGAAATTGAGGTTTACATTTCCTAAAATGTAATACATCGTTTGATCAAAACCACACAAAGGAAAACAATTGTTACTTGAGGTTGTGATAGAGGGAAAATACCTTTTGAATCTAGTGAACTTAGTGGACATTGAACGAGTTGAACAATTGAGAGAGAAAATGAAAGATTGTGTAGCGAAAGAAGAGTTCTTCAAATGAAACAAAACAAAGGATCAAAGAGAACAATGAAAATAAGATTTTTAGGTTACCTAATAACGAAGTGTGGTTTAGTAATATAAAATGGGTATGGAGATTGGGACAAGACAAATATGCACATACCGTCAGGTTCAATACGAGGATTCCCTGTCAAAATTGGATAGATTTGAACAATATCTATGGGTGTGGTTTATTTGCGATCCTTATTTATCCTCCATCGCCTTTACCCACTTTTATTACGTTATTTTGTTGTTTTGTCAATTAGTTTAACTATTCACAACAATTGTTATTGTATAATTTGAATTGTGGTTCTAAAAAATTGCAGAGTCGTCTATCAATTTTTGGAAGAGACTTCAGTGTTTCCCTGATTTCTAGACGATCTAGACATTTTGCAGGGACACGGTAAGCTCTTATTTTTATATTTTATTCATGTTTTTCTTATTTCACAGTTGATTCAAATGTCATGAATCACTATGATAATTTAAATTAGATAAGTGTTCTCTGTGTTTTTGTGATTATATTTTAATTTCATCCTTAGAAGTGTTTTGTTAAATTTCTAGCTATATATGATTTTTTTTCAAATTATATATTAATATAATATTCTTCTTCTCTTTCTCTGTGATGATTAATGGTAGAACTATCTAGTACATTGTAAAATTTCCCAACTAGTCAACTTTTTTCTAAAGCAATTTTCTGTAAGGATTATTTTATAATTATAGAAATAAAGTACAAATCCTTTATAATAAGGAAAAATTGGATTATATATGTATTATTAGGGACATTTTTATTCCAATTTCATATCTTTGTTATTAGAGGATGTCAAAGCTCTTCTATTTATTTATTGTCCTGTTTTCGTTTTCTTAATACAAATAAAACACTTGTGTTGTCTCATAAACACGTTTCAACTAAATGTCTCTCTCTTTCCTATAGTTTAACAGTTTGAATGACTAGTCAACTGCAAAGCAACAGTGGTTGATTGGATGGATGATGGTTGCAGTTCCTTCCACAATGAGAAAATACTCATTAGAGACCATGCTAGACCATTCTATAAATTGCTTTTTTGGTATAATTTTAAACGAGGAAGAATATTCTAAATTTCTATTGTTTCAAGATGTACGGAAGTGACTATCCTTACAAGTCTTATTTTTATCCTACATTTGAACTATAATTTTTTATGGGGCGCCTAAGTCCTACATTAAGCAATATGAGATACTCCGTTCGTTTCCTTAATAGCTAGCTTTTGAGGGTGGATTTACAAGTGCTTGGATGTATAAATTGGTATCAAAGTTGGTTGTCAATGTATTTGAAAGGCTATCTGTGGAGGGTTTTGACTGGTTAAGGGTTCTAACAATGGAGAGTCGTGTGAATTATCACTAAGTGAAATGGGTAGAGTAAAAGCTGGTTATTGATTCTTTGCTCTAGTTTCTGACCATGTGTGTCCCTCTCCCATTTAACTGTTCTGCACTTTTAGTTTATTCTGTGATGATAGTCGTATGTATGTTGTATATTTGACTAATTATAGGCTTTGCATCGTTTGGTGCAATTTGATGGAATGATTAGTACCATATTTCTCTTATGTAATGAGTTTGTTGCCTGGATTGTTTTTCCTAGACTTATCTATCATTATTTTTTTGCAAGGGAAACTTCTACTCTTCTAAATAATTTTCCCTAGAACTATGATTTTTTATCCTATTTTCATTTCTTGCAATTGTTTTATTACATAGGATTGTTTATATTAGATTTTACAGTGGTTCCTGAGCCAAAGTTTTGATTTTGTGGTTATTATAGTTAGAGCAGAGTTCATAGTACACAATTGGTTAAACATTTGCTGATGCTTGTTCTCTACAATTTTACGAGTTTGTGTTGGTTTGATTGGAATATATATGAATTAAACATGGAAATATTCTTTGATATCATGAGTTATATGTATTTTGAGCTGATGTTTGGTTTTACATTGTGTCTATCTGGCTATAACAGTAATGGTTAAACTAATTTTCTCTGTAATGAAAATTTTCTGCAGTTACTTGAAAAGGGGTGTTAATGATCGGGGGAGGGTTGCTAATGATGTGAGACAGAGCAGATTGTCCTTGATGAAGAAGCTGGCTCTTGCAAGGGGAAAATGAGTTCAGTTGTGCAAATGCGTGGATCAATACCACTTTTTTGGTCACAAGAAGCATCAAGATTTAGCCCTAAGCCTGACATAATTTGTACGAAATAGTTGAGATTAATATTTATCTTGTTCATTGTTCAATTTCATGCTGTTATAAACTATAACGCAGGAAATTCTCTGTTTTTTTGTTCTTTTTTTCCTTTTTGACTTCCAGTGCAGAGGTATGATCCGACATACGAAGCAACTAAATTGCATTTTGAAGACCTTGCTAAGAGATATGGCAATCCAATTATTGTTCTGAATCTGATTAAGGTAATTCCTCAAATAAAAATAGTTAGTTAGTGCGGAAAAAGTTAGTAAATATCTATGTACTTGTTAATTGATTCTTTTTTTCTTTTAGCAAGGGACCTACATCTATTTGCATCGTGTTCTTTAGTGAAAATTGATTTCTGTCCATGTTTCGTGCTTCTACCAAATGACTTCCCATTTGAAATTTGAATTTCAATCTAGCAAGTTCTTTTCATTCATCATATCAAATCATAAGTGCAAATTGCAAATGAATAAAGATGTAAAAGAAACGCTAACACACTGCTAACAGTGCCAAGCATGCTAGAATTTTTTTCCTACTGTCTTTAGCTCTGAATCCTCTACCGAATATGGTTCTTTGTTACATGTGTTTGCATTAATGAATTGCGTCTTTGTAAAATAGAAAATATTTTATAGTTTCTTGTAGCTCATTTAAAAGATAAATGCAGACAGTTGAGAAAAGGCCTCGAGAAATGATGCTGAGACGTGAATTTGCAAGTGCTGTTGGTTATCTTAACCAAATTCTACCAGTGAGAACCATCTTAGATTTATTCACTGGGACTTTCACAAATTTGCAAAAAGGTAGCCTACTGTGCTTTATCTCTTAGTCTCACAGTGGTGGTCTTTTACTTTTCCTGCATTTCAAACATATATGTGACTATTCTATATTCTTTTGTGCCTTTTCAAAGCAAGTCGGCCAATGTTTTAGCAGTTTTAGGAGCTGTAGCAAGTGAAGCGCTTGATTTAACTGGTTTTTACTACAGTGGTAAACCCAGTATAATAAAGAGGGCCAACAAGAGTAATCGAACTAGCACAGGAAGGTATGATCTATCATTGAAATTGTTACTTGACATTCAATACAGTGTTTTTCTTGTTTTTTTACATATTTTTTTTCGAATTGTAACTCTTAACATGGAATTACATTTTTTACTATCCAGTATTATCTAACCAAGCCCTTTTGTTTTCCATAAAATAGCAAAGATAGGAAAAAAATGCAGGGTCCTGTTACCTTTTCCACCTCATACTTCTGCTTTGAGGTTTGACCACCTGCTGCTCTATAGCCTTCACTGTAATATATGCTCTTTCCAGAATTAAGAAACATAGAACTAGAAGTCTCCATGAAAATCATGAACTTTTTGAATAAATTCATATCCTTTCTTGTTTTGAATAAATTCATATCCGTTTGGAGTAGGCAACCTCTATTCCAAGAAAATATTTGAGTTTTCCTGGTCTTTCATTTCAAATTGAGCTGCCAAGTTATCTTTTAGTGCCAATTTTTCTATTTCAATCTCCTACAATAAGNAAAGTAACGAAGAGGCCCTTGACTTTCGAGACTATGTTTGTCATTCAATTCATAAAATGATTCTATCTTTAGATTCATTATGGTGTTGTCTTGTAAATCCATTTCGTATCCACTTTCATACAAATATAAGAGTGATTTTAATTTTAGACTCAAATATGAATTCCATTAAAGATAAAATAAAGTACTAATATATATATATATATGTTTCAAGAAGAGCAAATCAAAAAGGAAACGGAAATCATCAATAAATGCAGCAACTGTTCGGAAATTTGTTCATTGACTTATTCAATCACGGCTTTTGATTGAAATGATCTTTATGGCTTATAAGAGCTATTTGAGTGTTTCAATTCAATAATTTGTTGCGTGTTGGAAATATAATCAGTCCACATGGTTGTGTAGCTCTGCTTATTCAGATCTGACTTAATACTTACAATTGTGGTTAAGGATCGGGTTTGAATGTACTCATTCTTGTCATGTAAGAATCTTGTGTCATCTCTGTCCTTGTTGAGGAACGGGTATACTCATATCCACCTTCATATCGACTCTTGTAGTATCTCAAATATTTACTAAAAAAAAATTTTACAAAAAAAAGGGGGCCATGATATTGTCAAGGATTTAATGTTAGGGGGACACATTTTATTTCTTCAATGTCCAATGTCAGGAAGAAATGATAATTGCATAAATCTTAAAATAGATTACCAAATAACAATTGCATAAATGTGAGTGAAGTAATTGTAGAAAAGAGTAAAAAAAAACCACAACTGAAATTTAAGGGAAATTACAACATCTATTTCTTTTGCAAATGTTAAGTGAACCATTGAGAAAGAGAATGAAAAATTGTGAAGCAAAATAAGGGTTCTTAAAATGAAACAAAACTAAGAACTAAAGAGAAAAGATATAAGTGTTTGAAGTTACCTAATAAACTAAGAGTTTACACCATTGAAATTGAGACTTGAACATTTTCACTTCATAATTAAAAAACAAGTAAAAAACTATCAAATGTGTGTCCTAGAAATGATTTAATTTGATGAAATTGAGGTTTACATTTCCTAAAATGTAATACATCGTTTGATCAAAACCACACAAATGAAAACAATTGTTACTTGAGGTTGTGATAGAGGGAAAATACCTTTTGAATCTAGTGAACTTAGTGGACATTGAACGAGTTGAACAATTGAGAGAGAAAATGAAAGATTGTGTAGCGAAAGAAGAGTTCTTCAAATGAAACAAAACAAAGGATCAAAGAGAATAATGAACATAAGATTTTTAGGTTACCTAATAACAAAGTGTGATTTAGTAATTGATGAGTCAATATTTTATTCACTTCACTTAGTTTATTGTACCGAATTTAATCGGGGAATTGTGCTTAATTGTCCGGTATTTTCCCGTTTTTGCTAATTGTGCTTAATTTGACCAAAAATTCTTATTTTAATTAATTTGAATTATCTGAGGCTAATTATTTACATTATTGAGTGCAGGGAAAATTCTGTAAAAATTATTGGGACATTTGAAAGAATATTCATCTACACACTGTGTTATTTAATGGGCATTGATTTATTTTGTGTACTGAACAGATAAAAATAAAAATAAAAATGTTTGGTTCATGAAGTATGAAGAGGTTTCAGTTTTGTTGCTGGAAACAAAGTGGTCCAGAGAATTAATTGGCAAGCCATGTCATCAATTCTTGAATTTTAAGAAGCCTTCACTTTGCAAAAGAAGTAACACGTTAACTGAGGCACATGTTGGGAAGAAGAAAACTAACGTCTTAGTCCTTTGACAAGTCAACAAAAGAATTAAAGGAGGGGACCACATGGAAGCAACATATTCACGTGCACATGCCTTCAAAATGCAATGAATTGAATTGCTACGTAAAGAAAGAAGAGGAAAATGGAGTTGGTGGCATACAAAGCAAAGTGCTGAATTTTATTTTAGTAAATGGTGTCACGGCCCACATGGAAAAGTTTTGGCTCTCGGTGCTCTTACACGGCTTATGCATCCATCACTTAGAAAATAATCTTTTTCCTTGGAATGAGAGAAGAACTTCACGGTCCCAAGACCAGCAGTTGGCGGCAGAGTGGTGTCCAGCTTAACACCAGCACCGTCCAGCTATCTCCAATGCAGCAGCTACCATTCATTCTTCATCTCACGTCCACCAGCCACATACAAAGAAGCAACTGGAAAGAAGCTCACGGGTTTTGTCCAATTCTTTGGCAGAAGCACGTTGATGTCTAGCTTGGCAGGAAGGGAGAGCGTTCCAGTAGTCTTCATTGTCCAACAAACGGTCCAGCTCCAAGAAGACACGGTGCAGCTGCTGACTTCATTTTTGAAAAGCAACAAGTAGAGTCACGGCTGGATGGAGAACAGCTCCACGGCCCACAACAGTCGACGTCCACCATGGTAGCAGAGAAGCACTTCCAGCTTGAGCAAAGCTTGTTACGTTTAGAGGAAGAGAAGCACATAATTTAGGAAGGTGAGCACACGAAGGAGCTGGACCGAGAGGGGAATAGAACGGAAGAAAGAAAGAAAGCATGAAGGATTCACGGTCCAGCAAGGTTCACATCCAGCCAATTGGGAGATTAGGAGTAAAGCTATTGGTCACGGCTTAGAAGAATGGAGATGCAGAAGCACAGCAGCAATGTGGGATTCACGTTCAGCACTTCAAGGATGGAGCATTCACGTGAAGAAGAAGACAAGGATTAGGGACCCAACCTTTGGTAAAAGCACACGGCACAAACAAATGGAGGGCCTCCCACCTTATTCTATTTGTCACGGGAGCAAGCTAACAGGGGAGAAAGGCAGTATGAAGAATGAATGAAAGAAGAGCACCTCCAATATAAAAAGGGGTAGGAGTTCCAGTAGAGGAGGAGGCCGTAGAGGGCTGCTGCAGGCGGAATAAGCTGGACTGCTGGAACAGAGGTCCGGAACAGTAAAGAATACAATGTGTAGACGGTTAACTATTGTGGTGTACGGTTTGAATTTTATTTTCGATGTTGTAATGAATTTATTTTCAGTGTATGAGTTGATTTAATTTCCTCTCACTGAAATGTCAATTTTAATTTACTGTTCTATTCATTGATGTCATTTAAATTCAACTGCAATTTAATTTCAGTCGCTGTCTGCCTATCGTTTAATTTGCACTATTGTTTACACTGCGTTGTTAATTATTGCACGTCAAATTATTCGCTATAAGTTTTGTTCTAAATATTTTGCTGCTGTAATATTGATGATGTTTTCATATTTGAATTTTACTGTTTTACTGTTTTTTTACTGTTTTTACTATTTTCTGTATTTACCATTTTTTGTATTTTGTGTTTTTCTGTACTTTTGTTTTCTGTATTTTTAGTTTTCTGTCCAGATTTAATTTCACTGTTTGATGTTACTGTATTTTCGTTTTACTGTAGCAATTTCGTTTTTACTATTTTAAATTTGTTTTACTGTTTTAATTTCGTTTTTACCGTTTTAATTTTATTTTTACGTATTGTTTTTACTTATGCTTTTATTTTTGTATTTAATATTTTACGTTTTCTGTACGTTTAAAGTTCCTGCGTTTATTTTATTTTGATATCTTTTACCGTTCAGTTTTTACCGTTTTAAATTTTATTTCACAGTTTTTAATTTCCAGTATTATTTAATTTTTTTTTATTGCAACCAAAAACAACCATCAAACCCCCCACTTCGTGTTTTTAAATTTGAGACTAAACCGCGAAAATATTGGTCCTTGAGAGACGACCTAGGAGTCACATCCTAATAACTATACTGCATTCATTTCGTGCAATCAAATTTGTATGACCGCGACAGTCGTATCAGTAATATAAAATGGGTATGGAGATTGGGACAAGACAAATATGCACATACCGTCAGGTTCAATACGAGGATTCCCTGTCAAAATTGGATAGATTT